ATCGTTGTATTTTTATATATGTGCATCACATAATATGATATCACATCACACGATATCACGTGACATGACATTATATGATATGACATCACATTATATGGCATGACAGCACATGACTTGACATCACACGATATGACATCGTATGACATGACATGGCATTACATGACGTGGCATCACATGATATGACATCATATTGTATGACATCATATGACATGACATCAGAGGATATGACAACACATGACATGACATCCTATCACATCACATAAAATCACGTCACATCTTATCACGTCATCGCACCTCATCTCATCTACGTGAATAGAAAAAGAAAAGGATATAAGCAAAGATGTGAAAGATAAAAACAAAGATGAAGACCAAGGTAAAGTTACCGATTTCAAAACCAGAAACACCGTTGGAAAGTAATTTTCTGTAGATGAGGAGTGTTTTTATAGTTTCGAAATTGGTTGAAAATCGTCGTCTAAAAATTTCCATATTTCTTAATGGTTGTTTTTGCAACCTTTTCAATTCAAGCGTTTCGCATTTTGTTTTACTTCGTATTTGAAAATAAACTTTGAAATAAAGATAAATATGAAGAAGAAGAAACAAGTGATAACGATGAAGACAAATAAGGCAAAAGTGAAGATAAAGACGAAAATTGAGATAAAGGCGAAAATGGAGACAATGAGAAATACATGAGAATTAGGTTAACAGAGTTGAAATTTTCCGAATCAGCGAAGTTTATAATTATCGAAATTACCAATGTTTACTGAGTTGTCGAAATTTATAGACACAGAAACTTAGTTGTCCTAATTTAAGGATAGTTATCGAGCTAAAAAAACGTGTGGGATTACCGAAATTTGTCAAGTTAAAGAAATGTGTCAAGTTATCCATATTTATTGAATTATCATTATTTATAACTTAACGAAATTAATCGAGGTGTCGTAATGCGTGGAGTTCTTTCATCTTACAGATTTATCGATTATTATTGATCTACTGAAATTGGTTGGTTCAAGGAAGCTAAGTTTATGGAATTTTCAAAATATATCGATTTATCGAAATTTCAAGGTTATATAAGCTTATCAATTTATGACTGCATATCGAAATTAATCGTCTTAAAAGAGTGTAACGAGATATCAAAATGTTTAGATAGTTTTCGAAAAATGTGGAGATGTCAAAAGTAAAAATTTATAAAGGTATCCAAAGTTTTTACATTTTTGAGTTATCGAAATTTATCGAGCCATCGAATTTCACAGTTATCGAAATTGGTCGAGTTAACGAGTTTGGTTGAGTTATCGGTTTTAGTGTTCTTGCAATTCATCGAACTATCGATATGTATTAGATCATTGAAATTTATCGATAAACTTGAATGTATCGGGTCAATTCCAAGTCCTGCCGAAGTCCTCCAAAGACCTTCTCAGATAAAAAAAAAATGTTGTTACGTTTTAGCAGAAGATTTTCCGGTTAGTTAATTTGTACCGTATAAGTTTTGCTACGTGTTAAGTTAGAAAACCTCTCCAAGGCTTCTAAAACTAGAAAAACTGTCGAATTTCGACAGTAACTGGCACTCTAGTCTATATATTAATACGCTAACATAAATTTTGTCTCCGTTCGTTTGGCGATTCTACCGAACCGATTTCAAAACCAAGAACACCGTTGGAAAGGCATTTTTCCGTAGATGAGCAGAGTTTTTATGGTTTCACAATTGGTTGAAAATTACGGCCAAAACCGTCGTTTAAACATTTTCGAATTGTGTATACATGTTGCTGCAACATGTTCAATTTGACATGTTTCGCCTGTTGTTTCTCTACACATTTGAAATTAAGCTTTGAAATAAAGATAAATATGAAGATGAAGAAATAAATGATAACGATGAAGTCAAAAAAAAAAAGAAGGCAAAAGTGAAGATAAAGACGAAAATGGAGAAAATGACAGATACATAAAAATTAGGGTAACTAAAAGGGTAAGAACATTTCTTGAATTTATGAAGTGAAACTTCTTTAGCGGCAGTTGGTTGGTTGGGAGTAAATTGTCAAATTCAAGGGGAATAATGCACATGGAAATAGTTCTCAGCGGTGTAGCGGTTCGAGAATAAAAACAAAAACATAGATGCCTAGAGGTACAGGCAAAAACGAAAATCAAAGTAAATTTAAACACTTTAAGGTAAAGGTGAAGAGGAATATGCAAAAATAAAGATAAATATGAAGAACAGGATGAGGATGAAGATCGATATTGTTATCGATATAAAACCCGATATTTTTATCGATATAATAATCGATACTGTTATTGATTAAGTAACCGCTATTGTAATCGATATAATAATCAATATAATAATCAATATTGTTAATGATATAATAATGGATATTGTTATCGGTATAATAATCGACTAAATAATTGATTTTGTTATGGATTTAGTCATTTATATTGTTAACGATATGTACAATAATCGATACTGATGATTGTTATATTTATCGACAAATGCTTGGAGTTTTTACTCGATTAAACATTCAATTAATTACCAATTGAACAATTTATAATTGAAATTTTGTATGGCAAATCGATCTTAATTAGTGCATTAATTGAGAAAGCTTGGATAATTGCTCGATTAACTGCCTGTCTGAAAATAGTATAATAATCGATATTGTTAATGATATAATAATGGATATTGTTATCGGTATAATAATCGATTAAATAATTGATTTTGTTATGGATTTAGTCATTTATATTGTTAACGATATGTACAATAATCGATACTGATGATTGTTATATTTATCGACAAATTAATCGATTTTACAATCGTCGTATTTTTCTATATGTTTATGGATATTGTTATCGGTATTTTTATCGACACAGTTATCAACAGGGTTATCGATACAGTAACCGTAACGTGGAATGTGATCACATTACATGACATGACATCACATTTTATCACATGATATGAAGAGACATCACATGATATTACATCACATAATATGATATAACATCACACGATATCACGCGACATGACATTATATGATATGACATCACATTATATGGCATGGCATCACATGACTTGACATCACATGATATGACATGACATGGCATTACATGACGTGGTATCACATGATATGACATCATATGGAATGACATCATATAACATGACATCAGAGGATATGACAACACATGACATGACATCCTATCACATCACATAAAATCACGTCACATCTTATCACGTCATCGCACCTCATCTCATCTACGTGAATAGAAAAAGAAAAGGATATAAGCAAAGATGTGAAAGATAAAAACAAAGATGAAGACCAAGGTAAAGTTACCGATTTCAAAACCAAAAACACCGTTGGAAAGGTAATTTTCTGTATATGAGGAGAGTTCTTATAGTTTCGAAATTGGTGGAAAATCGTCGTTTAAAAATTTCCATATTTGTGTATGGTTGTTTTTGCAACCTGTTCAATTTAAGCTGTTTCGCATTTTGATTTTGTTTTACTTCGTATTTGAAATTAAACTTTGAAATAAAGATAAATATGAAGATGAAGAAACAAGTGATAACGATGAAGACAAATAAGGCAAAAGTGAAGATAAAGACGAAAATTGAAATAAAGGCGAAAATGGAGACAATGAGAAATACATAAGAATTAGGTTAAAAGATAGGAATCGAAATAAAATAAGCCATAAAGGTTACTGAAATTTATCGAATCATCGAAGTTTATAATTATCGAAATTTATCCATGCTTATTAAGTAATCGCAACGTATCGAAGTATTCAAACTGATCAATGATTAATGAGTTGTCGAAATTTATAGACACAGAAACTTAGTTGTCCAAATTTTCGGATAGTTGTCGAGCTATAAAAACGTGTGGGATTAACGAAATTTGTCAAGTTAAAGAAATGTATCAAGTTATGCATGGAGTTCTTTCAACTTACAGAGTTATCGATAATTATTGATCCACTGAAATTGGTTGGTTCAATGAAGCGTAGTTTATGGATTTTTCAAAATATGTCGATTTGTCGAAATTTCAAGGTTATATAAGCTTATCGATTTATCATTGCTTATCGAATTTAATCGTCTTAACAGAGTGTAACGAGTTATCAAAATGTTTACATAGTTTTCGAAAAATGTGGAGATGTCAATAGTAAAAATTTATAAAGGTATCCAAAGTTTTTACATTTTTGAGTTATCGAAATTTATCGAGCCATCGAATTTTACAGTTATCGAAATTGGTCGAGTTAACGAATTTTGTTGAGTTATCGAATTTTAGTGTTCTTGAAATTCATCGAACTATCGATATGTATCAAATCAGGGAAATTTATCGATAAACTTGAATGCATAGGGTCAATTCCATGTCCTGCCGAAGTCCTCCAAAGACCTTCTCAGACAAAAAAAATTTAGTTACGTTTTAGCAAAAGTATAAGTTTTGCTACGTGTTAAGTTAGAAAACCTCTCCAAGGCTTCTACAACTAGAAAAACTGTCGAATTTCGACAGTAACTGGCACTATAGTTATAGTTAATAGTGTTGGGAAACTACTTAAGAAGTGTTTTATTAAAATTAAATTACAAAGTGACGATTTTTACTGGGAGGGCCCCATCCAAGAATTTGCGTCGGGCCTCAGATGATATAGTTACACCACTGCCAAATTGAATATCCGAATTAGGCATTTTTATTTTTTATGGAAATAATTGGATACTTTTTATATAACATATTAAGCTCTTGGCATAAGATGTACAGGTTTACCTCCTAAATATGAACGTTTTGGTGTAAGGGGTACAACAAAATTAATCGTCGTACAATTTCAGGAGGGGGGCCGGTCCTAGAACAAATGAAGTACCAAAAAGTAAAAATAAGATGTGTCTTATAACAAAGGTATACCTTCCAACTAATCAAAATTACAATCTTAATAAGCCAATACTGAAAATTCAGTTTGTCTACATTTGAATACTACCATGCCTCATATAACTTTTTTTTGAAAACTTTTACGTTACTACATTGTAATCAAATAAAGGACGTGTGACTCACCTGAAATTGCCTTTCTTAGGCAAATAGTCCTTGAACTGCTTCAGGGTGGGCTGTGAACCGGGAATTTTCGATCTGTAAGGATATTCTTCGTCACAGAAAGAGAATACGACAGTTGTGGTCTCTAAAGGCTTTGCCGGTAGCGGCGGTGGCTGTGACTGGTGTTGTAAACTACTGCTTCCGCTACTACTGCTACTGAATGAAGGTGGTTGCTGTGTTATCTGTGTATGTTGTTGGGTGTAGCGACGAGACCTTCTGGTCTCATCTTCCAGTCTTCTTTTTGCCTCTTCTGACTTTGAGGCCGTACTTGAACCAGATCGCGAGCTTTATTAAAACGAAAAATGATTAAAAGTATAATAAAGTTTTTAGAGAGCCATGTTTACCTGGTGTCTTTGTACTTCATAAGAGTATCGGCTGAGAACAGACTGATTCCGCTATCTGTATTTATGGAAGGCCATTTATTTGTTAACTTCCTGGAGGAGGAACTGTGGTCAGGCATCGACTTGGAGTGCTTCATAGAATGCCCCCCTACAAAAAGAATTCATATAATGAAAACATTTTTTTTTCATTATTACTGTTGCGTTAAAAAGTAGGTTGTTGTAAATTGTCTTAAAGAAATAAATATACCAGCATTGTATTCTTGAGAGTTGTAAACTGATTTCAAGAAATTTTGATTGCTTTACTGCCAAGCATCCGTCTTTCTTATTTCCATATCATGACTCATATCAATATCCAATATGCGCAACCATGGAGAACTAAGAATTTTGAATAAAGTTGCAAATTTTATACTTTTCAGGAATAAAAGAGACTGATGATTTGGATTAATGCGTTTAAGGCTACGGTTACTATGCATGCGTGTTCTAACGAACTTTTGTTCTGAGAATTTCGTCGCAACAAAAATATACGCGTTTGTTTGTTTGTTTCGTAGTTTTTTGTTCCAAAAAAATAGTCAGAACAAAAGTTCGTCAGAATACGAATGCATAGTAACCGTAGCCTAAGAAGACAACCTTTATTTTTCATTCCTTGAAAGTAATTTTATATGAATTTTTCGTTTTTCTTGAGAACTGTATACCATCGTACAACATCCTAGGTAAAAACACTATAAGCTGATTGCCAAAAAAGTCCTACAGCTGGGATCATCTGTTTTTTTTGGCATTTATTGCTTTCTTTTAAAATGTCTCCGTTTCTAATACAATTACTTCCACTTCTATTACAATGACTTCCATTTCTATTACAATTTATGCCAAATACACCAATACACTGCACCAAAACACACCTAGATCGAGCCAAACACACACCTACTGCATTGTTGCTATTTTAAGTACAAGGAGACCTCCCACTTCTTCTGCTATCACCAGCGGATTCCGAGTTGAACACTTTCAGAGCTGGAGCATCGGATTCCATTGAAACTGATCTATCTACTGTATTAATTTTTTATCGTTCTTATCTTTAAAAATACAACCCGTGACCAAATGATACGGTCACCCAGTAAGGGCTATTTATTTATTTTATTTTTTTATTAATTTTATAAAATTATAGCTCATTGTCGGGCAAAACCCATACAAATAAAACCCAATTTCAAAGTTTCATCAAAATTTCACACTTTTTATTCAGAATTTGTACAAATTTTTTGGGTAGATTTTTTTGTAGCCCATTCAATCCCCTACAATATGGTGCAAGTTTGAAGTGTCTAAAAAATACCGTTGATTTTTCGATTTTTTTTTTTTGTTGATGGTGTTGTGCGCGTTCTTCCATATAACGAATGTTTGCATTTTATTTAATGTAGAAGAAAATTCAAAACACCTTTGGGGATTTTTTTTTTAATTTTTTAAATGTGGATTAATTTTTGTTGGACAATAAGCCTATATTAAAAAATAACATCAATTAAAAATAAGTTGAAAAAAAAAATAAAGATATGGGGCCCAAACAGGGTGACCGTGTCATATTATAAAGAGAGATCTCAATGATAAATTACGTTAAATTAAGTTTACATCAACTGAAGCTTAACAAAGAATATACCAATAAACACACTGTAGTAGATAAAAAAAATGTTTTTTTTCGGAATAAGAGAGGTAATGGTATTTACGGAAATGGCGAAAAGAACAATTAAGCTCAAAAAGTTACATTTTTTGTCATTAATTTCATTTCATTTCATTTATTAATCAATAAACAATGTTCTTACAAACTATATTACAAATTTATAAAACAGGATACACAGGAAAGGGAACAAGTTCTCACGATGCTAAAAAATTCATAGGTGCGAAGATTTCTTGTTCCTGGAGGTGCTTAAGAATTACCGGGTACCAATGAATTTTTTGACATCGTGCGAAAAAAATAAAAAATAAATTTATAACATGGTTATCGTGACAAATGCTTTACAAGCACAGTATACAGTAAACCAGCCATTGACAATATGCTTATTTTAAAATTCCATGCAGCGGGTTTGGTGGCAATTGTCGCTTTCATACTAGCCACATTATTATTTCCAATAACAAATTATGCTCCAGGTAGTAACAAATCGAGCTATTGGTTACATATTGCACCTTCTAAAGTTTATTGGTTATTTATCATTTAAATACAAATAATAAATTTTGAATACTTATCCATGTTCTGTTTCTCTCATGTGACAACCACGCAAATATCGGACCAAAAGCAATACATAGCTACTCATTTTCTACATATCGATGGCTGAGTGGAAGATCGACCTATCTCGGAAGCCAGTTCCAAAACGCCCTGTTTCATGAACGCCCTATTTCAGAATTTGGTTGAATAACGCCCTATCTCAGAATTCATTTCAAAAACGCCATATCTCAAATGAAAATACATTGAAAACAAACTGATATAGGGCGTTTTTGAATCGGCAGCTGAGATAGGGCGTTTTTCAATGAAATTCTGAAGTAGGGCGTTCCTGAATAGTTTTCTGAGATAGAGCGTTGTTAAAAAATTTTCTGAGATAGGGCGTTTTCGAACTGGTTGCCGAGATAAGTCGATCTTCCACTCAGCCATCGATATGTAGTGTCTACTTTTAAAATTGTTTGGGTTTCTTTTCAAATATTTTTATATTCATATATGGGGCAATTCACGTCAAGCGCGTTGAGCGGTGTAAAACAAGCTAATTTTCGAGTAGTAGTGGGAAGCAGACGGAAAATAGGAAAAATAACAGTGCTACAAAAAAGCATAAAGTAGAAATACCTGGGAAGTTATGTATATTTTCTGGTAGGTCTTTTCGAGTAAAACAAGAATCGAAATATGAAAATTGCCAAACACCCCCAAAATATTGATTTACCGTTAAAAACCTGCTTTTCGTACCTTTGCGCACTTATAAGTCTGTAATTTAGTTCATTATGAACCGAGTTTCGGTTTATTTAGAAGAAGAGGGTTTAAAAAGAAGAAACTTGGGCCTTTCCAACGATATATATGTGTATAAAGAAACCTTAAGAGATCTGAGTGTATTTACCCAGCAAACACATTTGTTTTTTACTTTTTCACTTTTTTCAATTTTGGTGAGGATTTTACGCACTATTTTATAAGAAAACCATACCATTGATTGCAAAACTAAATTTAATAGCGAGTAAAATGAGTATTTATGAGTGCAATGGGGTATAGTCATTTCGCTGGGTATGCAGTTACAGTTGCATGGCTATACTCAATCCCGACTCTTGCGTCCTCGTTCGCGCACTCTGGGCAACGTGAGCAACCCATGTGCGAGATGCGGTAACCAATCCGAGTGGAGCCTTGGGTCACGGCAGAAAGAGAGGGAGCTTCGGTGGGGCCACTCTGACTTATTCGGTTTAAGGACTCACTGAAGTCTGCAGCGTCTGTTCACCAGTAGGTGCGGCTGCAAGCGGGTGTCTGCGTGGAGCAAGCGGCTCGCTATATAAACGTGTATTTGGTTGCGAAACCACCCCCGTCCCAGCAATGGGTTGTGCGCTGGGCTTGGGACCCGCCACGTAAAAACCACTTCCAGTGAAGAAGCAAAGCCTCGGATGAGACCCCCCCTTATGATGACGACCAAGGCAAATGTTTAAAGGACTACGATTTGAGGGCATGCACCTGGAATGTCCGGACCCATAATGGGGAAGGTGCCTCTGACCGGCTGGTTGATGTCCTCGTAAGGACAAAAGCTGACATCACCGCCATCCAAGAAATGCGTTGGACGGGGCAAGGCAAACAATGTCTGGGGCCTTGCGACGTCTACTACAGCTGCCATGTAAAGGAGCGCAAATTCGGAGTTGGATTTGTGGTGGGAGAGAGACTCCGTCGCCGAGTACTGTCGTTCACCCCGGTGGACGAGCGTCTAGCCACAATCCGCATCAAAGCGAGATTCTTCAACATCTCGCTCATCTGCGCCCATGCCCCGACGGAAGAGAAGGATGAGGCATCCAAGGATCTCTTCTATGAGCGCTTGGAGCGCACGTACGAGCGCTGCCCCCGTCATGATATCAAAATCGTGCTTGGCGACTTCAATGCCAGGGTGGGCAAAGAAGGGATCTTTGGAACCACCGTCGGAAAATTCAGCCTCCACGACGAAACGTCCGACAACGGATTGAGGCTGATCGACTTCGCCGGGGCCCGAAACATGGTAGTATGCAGTACTAGGTTCAAGCATAAAAAGATCCATCAAGCTACCTGGCTGTCTCCGGATCGAAAAACGAGAAACCAAATCGATCATGTTGTGATAGACGGAAGGCACGCTTCCAGTGTTTTAGACGTACGCACACTCCGAGGCCCAAACATCGACTCGGACCACTATCTTGTTGCAGCCAAGATACGCACCCGCCTCTGTGCAGCAAAAAATGTGCGCCCAAATATGCAAGGAAAGCTTAACGTCGAAAAGCTGCAATCACAACAGACAGCCAGCGCTTTCGCTACTCGACTCTCACACCTGCTCTCAGAGAGCACTCTTCAACAAACCGACATATGCGAGCAGTGGAACCACATTTACCGCTCATTAAGTACCGCCGCTGAAGAAGTAGTCGGATTTCAGCGAGCCCGAAAGAACAACTGGTACGATGAGGAGTGTCAGGAAGCTGCAGAGAAAAAAGATGCCGCCTACAGGGCCACGCTGCGATCGGGCGCAACGCGCGCTATGTGGGACCGCTATAGGGATCTGAAGAGGGAAGCGAGACGTATTTGCCGCAACAAGAAGAGAGAGGCAGAAATACGTGAGTGCGAAGAGCTTGAAATGCTGGCCGACAGGAGGAATGCCCGAAAATTTTACCAGAGAGTTAGGCGACTTACGGAAGGTTTAAAGACCGGGGCGCACTCCTGTAAGAACAATAATGGCGACCTAGTAACTGATGTCCAGAGCGTACTTAAATTATGGAGGGAACACTTTTCCGCCCTACTAAATGGTAGCAGCACGGAAAGTTGTGGAGAAGAAGAACCCGAGCCCGCAGTCGATGATGACGGAGTCGACGTTCCACCGCCTGACTATGACGAGGTACGTATAGCAATAACGCGGCTGAAAAACAACAAAGCCGCTGGAGCTGACAGCCTGCCAGCTGAGCTATTCAAGTACGGCGGCGAGGAGTTGATAAGGTGCATGCATCAACTCTTGTGCAGAATATGGTCAGATGAACGCATGCCCGACGACTGGAATTTAAGTGTGCTCTGCCCAATCCACAAGAAAGGTGACCCCGCCATTCGCGCCAACTACCGCGGGATCAGCCTTCTAAGCATGGGTTACAAGGTCTTATCGAGCGTATTGTGTGAAAGACTGAAGCCCACCGTCAATGAACTGATTGGGCCTTAT